CTAACATTGATTCATTGGTAAATTTCTGTTGAGAAATATGTTTCTAAACATATAATTTATAGTTTACTGTAGAATTTTTGTTACATTTTCAAAATTATCCCTCCAAAATAATCCCTCCAAAATAATCCCTCCAAAATAATCCCTCCAAAATCATCCCTCCAAAATGAACAAATGATGATGGGTAATGATTGAATTTGTGCATTTACTGAACAAATATGTACCGTAAAAACGTGTTATACAGGGTGTCCCACGAAACATGACAATAGCAAGACGACTTGAAAGTCGTCTTTGATATTTGAATTTATTTGTGACATTTAGTCTTCTATCTATAACTTTAACATGTATGATTCTTGAAACAATTATCACATAATTCTCCTAGCCCTGGCATTTCCAAAAAGTGGTCTGCGTTTTTTGTGCTTTCAATATTATCGGAGATATAAAGAGTTTGGTTCAGATTTCAATTTTGTTAAATAAAAGCAAAATTGTCGAAATCTGAACGAAATTGTTCATATCTCTGGCAATATTGAAAGCACAAAAAATGCGGACCACATTTTGGAAATGGCAGGACTAGGGGAATTTTGTGATTATTATCTCTAGAAATTTACTTCTAAAATTAGCTTGACAAACAAATGCAGCAAATTATATCAAAAATCAAGACGATATTCAAGTCGTCTTGCATACTGTCATGTTTCGTGGGACACCCTGTAGGTCTCAAATGAATCCTAAAAAATGTCTGCAATACTGCATTCTCAGCTAAACCAGAGCCACTGAGCCAGACACTCCCTTTAAAGTCTAGAAAAATAAAGAAATAGATTCTGGATAAATTTGTTATTTCCCGTTCCTTTAAACAAGTAGATTAAAAGATATTTTAATGTTTTCAATTAACAGTTCTGAGGATTCTTCTAAATATCGTCTTTAATGTAATGTATTTTTGAACAATTTTGTTTCGTTTCTAATTTTTAAATCTAACAAAACTATTGAAAAACAAACTACGACAATTGAAATGAAATAATAAGACGAATATTACTTAATTTCAAAAATTATATAAATATACAGGGTGTCCCACGAAACATGACTGTTGGGGAATAGTTTAAAATGTCTTCTTCCATAATATTTCAAGTTGATTGTTGCCAAAAAGAAAAATAATAAATATTTCCTGGCATCCATATTATAGTGAAATTGATTTCTATGTAAAATATATTTGAGTTTTTTAAACTAAATAAACTGCAAAAAGTCTTTAATATCTAATACATGCATACATGGAAGAAGATATTCAAAACATTCGCCAACTGTCATGTTTCGAATCCAACTAGGGGTCCATAGATGTGTGCCTTAGTAATAATATAAATTACAAAATGGAGAATGAAACTAGAACAAGACTGCTGCTGCAGAGGATCATAAAATTAAGAAAAATAATTCAAATCGATAATGTTAAATCGTCTATACGCTAAATTCCCCCTACTGAACTTCTGACCTACTAACTTTCCGACCTACTTCAATATCGGACCTACGCCAGATGTTTTTTTTGCATTATTTGAGGGTTAGGTTAGGTTAAAACAATTTCTGGGCCGAGCTCTGCGACTAGGACAGAATAGGGGGCCGGGGGCCGCGGCTAGGATAGGCTAGGGGGCAAGGTGCTGCGGCCACAAGTCCATATAGCAGCTGTAAAACCACGTGCTAGTAGGTCGGATGTGTAGTATAGCGGATTTGGCGTAAGTCAGAAGTGGAGTATTGCAGATTTGCGTAGGTCGAAAAATACACCATTTTGAAATCTTACAATCGACTTTGTATTCTGCATATACAAAATATCACAGGCGAAGAAACTGCTACTTGACTGAGGAGGGGTCGAGAGGTGAGGCGGGTTGACCCGTCCTTCATTGTATTCCATACTCCTTCCTCTGAAGTCTCATTCTTTGTATGAACTAGAAAAAAATATACTTTTATTATCTTAAACATTAGTCTAGTAAATACTAGTATAATTATAATCAATGTGTGAAAAACAAACTGTTCTATTTAATTCACTTTTTGACAGATAATTGAAAACTTTAAATCAAATAAAACATATGTTTCTAGAATTAAAATAAAACTAAGCTTTTAGGGCGCTTCGCGCCCATATTTCATATCAATTGTGAACATGTTCTCTTTGTGTACATTGTAAAACAAAAACAAATAAAAGATTTCGCGGAGTTTATAAAAAAAATTTCGATGATTTTCAAAATGTTCAAAAAGAGAAGTTTGATGGAGGCAATATTTGAAAATTTGATCATCCATAAACCTTCCTTGGGATCACGGGAGGTTCCACACAAAAATTTTGCCCGATCGGTTCAGCCGTTATATATTTTCTTGGATATAAACGGACAGACAGAAAAGCAAAGTATATATTTAGATAGCGAAATCAATCCGTAAGATATTAATACAAAAAAATAAGTGTTGACATGGATTTACAGACATTTATTTTTGTCACACTGTTGAACGAAAGAAGGAAGGCCTGGCACAACAATTTGTTCTCCGAGCCACATTCTCCTCATTTTTTATCCGAACCACCTTGAGATCCTCGTCCTTCCAAAAAAAGTTTTTAAAATGTCCAATCCTTGATGAATTTTTTAACTCTCCGTGGTAGGGGCTTTTCAAAAATGTATGATTTATCTCATTTCGCGCACTTTTTGTTTTTGCACATTTTTTACTTAATAACTTGATGTTGCAATAAATATTTGAAATTTTGCAAATTTGCCAACTTTTTTGCCAGATTTTTAAAGTAGTGCCCAAGGGCTTTCCAAACATGTATCAATTTCTACAATTTCTATAGATTTAAATCACAATAAGGAAATAGAGGGGGGGGGGGGTTATGGTATAAAAATGGAAGGAAGAGGATTTCGAGGTAGCTCGGACGAGAAAATTAGATGAATGTGGCTCGGGTGAGACAATTTTGTTGTTTGAGTTTTATTTTTAATTTCCAGTGAAGAAGTCACGAGTGTCTTTATGTTTTCAATATTTTCAAACTTAATGAAAAGATTTAGTATTTAAAAATACACTGCTTCATTCACATCAAACAAGCCAAATTATTTTGCACTTGAAGAGCGCTATTTAGTCTAGGGTTTTACAAAGATAATTAAAACACTTTGTTTAATTTAATTAAGAAAACTGACTATTTTAAAATAAAAAATATTTTGAGTCTATTTTAGTATTTTTTCTGTAAACTTTACAGATTCGATGATTAATCACCATTTTGCAGTTTTCTGTCCTGGCAAACCAGAATCCTTTTTAGCCAATATTTCAAACTCCATTTTCTCAAAAAGGACTACTCATCAAATTTGTTTAAAACATGTTTTGAAATCGACAAATCATTATACTTTCAATTTCAAAAAAAAAATTTGGGGGTAAATTCGACTTTTGCCTTCCAGAAGTGGAGTTTTAATCGAGTTTAAAAGAGGAGTTTTCACCTGCAATAGTTGTGCCATAACTGGATGAAAACTCGACTTTTCACCAAGTTGGGGGGTTGTACAAATCGATGTCAACTGGATGATATTTGGATGATTTTTGGATGAGTTCTGGAAGAGTTCTGGATGATTTTAGGATAATTTCTGGATGATATTTGGATAATATCTGGATGATGAGAAGTGGAGTTTTAATGGAATTTCAAAGTGGAATTTTTTTGTGCAAAACTCGACTTTTCATCTAGTTGGGGGGTTGTAAAATATATCGACCGGGTAATATTTGGACGATATGTGGATGATACCTGGATGATCCAGATTATATCACCCACAGATCATCCAGATGAATCACCCACATATTATCCAGATATCACCAATCCAATCCAGTATTCTTCTTCTCAAATTCAACCCATCATCATTCCTCCATCTGTAATAATCTGTACACAAGACTGTCTAAGTGGAACTTCAATTCATTCAAAAAATCAAGAATTTACTGAAATTGGTTCTAATGAAAACTCCAAAATAATAGAAATTTTGAAAAATTTTATTTACCAAAACAGTTGCATAAAATGTCTTACATATTAATTCTTTTGAAAAATCACCAAATATTATCAAATTCTCACTTACAAATGCATTTTTGTGCAGTTGAGGTTTCGTGAATATATTGACACAGAAACTGGGATTCAAAAAGTCGAGTTTAAGTCGAGTTTATGCACCCAAGATTTCACCCAGCTGGTGACTGGAGTTCAAAAGTGGAGTTAAAGTCGAGTTTAAGTGGAGATTTAAAGTCGAGTTTTGAAATCCAAGTTTTCACCCTGACTTGTTAAAAACTGGGATTCAAAAATTCGAGTTTAAGTCGAGTATACGCACCCAGATTTCACTGAGCAAGTGACTGGAGTTCAAAAGTGGAGTTAAAGTCAAGTTTAAGTGAAGTTTTTAAGTGGAGTTTTGAAATCCAAGTTTTTACCCAGACTTGGTAAAAACTGGGATTCAAAAAGTCGAGTTTAAGTTGAGCTTTTTCACCCAGATTTCACCCAGCTTGTGACTTGGTAAAAAATGGTATTCAAAGTTGAGCTTATGTCGGTTAACACACCCAGTTTCACCCAGTTGGTGACTGGAGTTCAAAAGTGGAGTTAAAGTCAAGTTTAAGTGAAGTTTTGACGTGGAGTTTTGAAATCCAAGTTTTCGCCTTGACTTGGTAAAAACTGGGATTTAAAAAGTCGAGTTAAAGTCGAGTTAGTTTCTCCCAGATTTCATCCAGTTGGTTACTGGAATTCGAAAGTGGAGTTAAAGTTGAGTTTAAGTGGAGTTTTCAAGTGGAGTTTAGGACAACTAGTTATCATCTAGTTGTATGATCCAGTTGTGTTTCTTGGGGAGCTGGAAGCTGGGGATCAAGTGACACAAGCTATCGTCAGCTGATTCACAAGTTGTTTCCAAGATTGAGCCTTAAACCTGGGTAAAAGAATAAGACTTGAGTCCAAGTTTTCAAATCTCGGGCTGAGGCTTAAATCGGGTGTGTACGGTACAAACTATAGTCGGACCGGTTTACGTACTTGGATAAATGTTGTATTTTAATGTAAATTTATTTCAGAAAATGCTAAACATGAATTATATACTACATAATCGTTCACTGTGTAAAGGAATAAGGTAACGAAATATAAAGATCCAAAAAGTATAAAAAATGCTTGTTTTTAATATTTACATATTTTCGATTTAAGATTTTTTACATGGGATATAAATATATTTGTTAGATACTAACAAATATTTCTTTTAAAGTAAGTACATTTGATTCATACGTACATAATCATCTGCAACTAAGAGATTTTATTAGCAGTCAAATTTTTTGAAAGAAATCCTTAATTTGCACATAATTGTCCTCCACCCTATTTAACTGATTTTTATTTACCTATATAATTGAACACACAGTCCACCAAAAGTGACAAATAAAAGACGACTTGATATTTAAAATATTTTGCTTACAATTTTTCTCATTACATGCTATCAGAGATCAAAAATTACCTATCAGTCGTCTTCCAACTGTCATGTCGTGGGACACCCTGAAAGGGTAACACTGTATAGTGTACATTTACATTTCTGAGAGAGCTTTTTCAGAGCTGACATTCGTAGAAACAAGCAAAGTGTTTATTTTTAGAATTTGTAATATTCGTTCCCAAACTTTCATATTTACATTTTTCGTTTCAAAGAAATGTTATTTTCATACTTAATCCATAAGTATGAAGTACACTCACGTTGGTATACATTTTGATTTAAGAGATGATAAACAAGTTTTTTTCTGAAGGTTGATTTCAACATCACAGAGCGTTTACTCAGCTACGGCACAAAGGATTGGAGTTATAGGGATGGGGCATGTAGGTAAGACTAAAATATACATTTCTGTAACCCATTTTCCATCGTTACGATATTTGATTTTAATCTTACAATATTATTATAACCGAAGATTCATGTTACTATATGTTTGGATTTAATTTAAGAACTTGCAACAAACATATAAGTGGGCCCCATAAAACTCTGGAACGGGATGACGACTTTAGGCTATAATAATGACATTAAATTCTAGCTTGGGAACCCAGCTTTGCTTGGAAACAAAAAGTCAACCTTTTCAACTTAAACCAAGCTAAGAACATTACCGTGGTTCTACAAAGTTCCCCAATCATAATTTGAGGCAAATCGGCAAACAAAAACAGATTACTACTTTAAATGTATAGATGCAAGCGAGCACGAAACCCAGCAATTGTGCAGTGTAACTGTACAGTGAACCCTATACAGACTTAATTCACTTTTTTAAGCTATAACCCATAAAACTATTTGATTTTTTACAACATAAAATACAATTAAAATTATTGCTTGAATTTCACTTTTCTATTCCACATTTTTATGAGTTCCACCGTACAACTATTTGCCTCTCCGAAGTTGAACCCTTTTCCCCCGTTACCTGTCGAAACCAATGTACTCTGTGAGCGTTCTAAAATAAAAACATCTCTCCGTGAGTCTAGATTTTTCGTATGTATTAGCTCAAGAATTTCAAATTTTATTATTTTCATATTTTATGATATTTGTTAATGTACAATTCTAAATAAATAATCGTTTAAAACTTTAAAAAGATAAAGCACTCTTGTTTACAGAATAACAGAGAAAATAAAATGATATTCATTTACTTTTACATGTAAAAGAGAGGTTTATAGATTTGTATCTTTAAAGTACAATCTCTTACAGGTAGGGCTGTTAATCGTTTTCTTCCTTGTCCTTTGATGTTTTACAACTTCTTTATTTTAAACTGACATTTACTTTTCTTACACTATGCCAAATATTTACTCTGAGAGTTAATATATGCAAAAAAAGAACCATAAAACGAATGTATTTAAACGATAGTTTATTGTTCGTTTTTACACTTCATTCTCTAAGGATAAAAATATTGCAAAGTTTAATAAAAATAAATTAAAAAAATTACACTTTGTTGGAAGTTTTATAAAATGTTCAAATAAAAAAACGATTAGTAACTGCTATTACAAAAATCTGCTATTACTAGTATTTAAAAATTACTAAGATTAAGAATCTAAAAATCCTACTCTTTAAGGAGCTGCTTTGACAAAGAATCTAAAAAGCGAATGTATACTTACAGGAACCGCTGTTACCAAGAACCTGCTAAGAAACGGATTTAATGTCTCTGCAATCATGGATGTGAAACCAGATCTTTGCCAGGGATATCCAGATACTGTTAAGGTATGTTTAAAGAGACTGTGTGCCAAGGATATCCAGATACTATTAAAGTTTGTTTAAAGGGACTGTGTGCCAGGGATATCCAGATACTATTAAGGTATGTTTAAATGGGCTGTGTGCCAGGGATATCCAGATACTATTAAGGTTTTTTTAAAGGGACTGTTTGCCACGGATATCCAGATACTATTAATGTATGTTTAAAGGGACTGTTTGTCAGGGATATCCAGATACTATTAAGGTTTGTTTAAAGGGACTGTGTGCCAGGAATATCCAGATACTATCAAGGTTTGTTTAAAGGGACTGTGTGCCAGGGATATCCAGATATTATTAAGGTTTGTTTAAAGGGACTGTGTGCCAGGGATATCCAGATACTATTAAGGTTTGTTTAAAGGGACTGTGTGCCAGGGATATCCAGATACTATTCAGGTTTGTTTAAAGGGACTGTGTGCCAGGGATATCCAGAAACTATAAAGGTTTGTTTAAAGGGACTGTTCATAATATTTATGTTTTATTATGTTTTTTTATAATAACAGGGGAAAGGGGATAGAATCAAGATTTAGCAAGAAAAGCAATTTCGATTTATACAATGAAAATTACTATATTCTTAAAGAAAACTTTTTTTAAAACTTGGAAGAAAAACCGTAGGAAAACTTCCTAGATATTTATTGTTAACTAATTCTAATTTATAACTTTTTGTTCTGTTTGGTTCTGCTCTATGTATGTTGCATTTGCAGAGGGAGTCCCCCCTGGCATCTTCTATACCTTTAATTTGGTTTTTTTTATGGATTAAAAAATGTTCGAAATTGGGGTGTAAGATTTGTCATAAAATTCCATAAGGGGGGAATTTTATTTGTGCGAGTATTTTTTCTAATATTTCTCCCATCCCCCGGAAAATATTGTAAGCCATCCCTGGCTGATTAGCTGTTAAATTCTTTTCTAATATTTCTCCCATCCCCCGGAAAATATTGTAAGCCACCCCTGGCTGATTAGCTGTTAAATTCTTTTCTAATATTTCTCCCATCCCCCGGAAAATATTGTAAGCCACCCCTGGCTGATTAGCCGTTAAATTCTTTTTAAAAAATGGCAAAACTATATTATTAGGTTGTTGGCTCGCCTGCGGAAGTGGCACAACTCTCTGATGTAGTTGTTTCAGGTAAATTCTTTATTTTCGAGGAGATATGAGGTCACAAAGTCGAACCAGTGTTGTCGCAAAAATTTGGATTCTTAATTATATGAGATGTTTATGAATATACTTTATAAAATTTGATCAAAGTGCTCAATATTAGATCGAAATGATATTGGTCATTGCGAAAGGATTTCTTTGCATTTCTATGGTTCTTTGATTTCTGTGGTTCTTTGATTTCTGTGAGTTTGCCATTTTTTTCAGGTCAATTCAGTATTGTTTAGGCCTTAATTACAGAACCTTTCCTAAAGCTGTTAAGAATGATAAAACATTAAAAACTTTGGAAATCATGGGCGGGACACCATGCAAGAGTAATGGAAACGCCAGAAATCCACACTGGTTTAACAAAGACTACATTCATACATCTTATTATAAATATTCAAACAGCATAGATTAAATGTCGTCCTACTTATACCAGTGCCGTTTAGGATTCAAAAACTCTTGCATTGTGGGGACCTTTACATGTAAATCTACTTCCTTTATCTATAAATACTACAGCCTTTTCCGGGACCAATTTAATCCACACTAAACTAAGCTAGCGGGATAGGTCAAACAGGTCTATGATAGGCCGGGTACTGTAAAAAGTCTGGCCGCACCATAAAAAATGTGAAACCGCGAGCTAGCATAGGATGGTCGGGCCCGTACCTGCCACATCTCACTATGGCCGGTACAAGGAGTACAAGGGGCCATGTCGGTATAGCTCGTATTCAATTTGACCCTTGTACATTGTGAATCTGGAAGAGATAGGAAACTTATTCCCATTTCTTCTTGTACAATTCATAAAATAGAATTTATTATAGGTCTACCTAAACCCCATCATGTGAAGGAGGTATTTGAAGGAAGTTCTGGTCTCCTGGCTGGTCTTAAACAAGGTCAAATCTGGATTGATCATTCAACCACTGATCATGAACAAAACAAGGTAATATCATTTTGGAAAATCTTTGAAAACTCAAATCCAAACGGCTTAAATGACTATCGACAAAATTTGAAGTGGCCCTAAAGGAATAAAGTCTTTGTAAAAAAAAACTCTGATTTTCTATAAATCCCTATATCTTTGTGACCCAATAGATATTTCAAACTTTAAATTCTGAGCTGGAAGCTCTTGTTTTGCAGTGGATACCGAGATCAATGCTTGATCTTCTCTTTTTGTTAATCTGCAGATAGATTCAATCTTTATTTGATATCCTGGAAAGTGTCTAAAATCAAACCAATCAGAGCGTCGTTTAAAGAAACAGCCAATCAAAAGCCGAGAAATTTGGCGTTCAATTAATAAGAGAACTCTCGTCAGTCGGAACCTAGCAGGGAAAACCATAATTAAAATAACCAATTTTGAATGAAAAACAGGGACAACTTCATTATTTTTACTAAGGCAACTAGGTTTTATGGTTTCATTGTGAATCGAACATGGAACTTTTTAAACGAACGGTCGCTAAAATGCAGTTATATTTTTTTGTATTAATTATGTTTATACTTAACATGTATTCTAATACAGGTATTTACTGAGCAAATGGCTGCTAAAGGAGCTTATCTTCTTGAATGCCCAATAACAGGTTAAATATCTAAATATTTGGCGGATTTTTCTGAATTTTCCGGCTTAATGTTCTAAAAATAAGCTTCTGTCTAATCTAAAAAATGTAACAAATAAAAATGTAAACCAAGTTCAAAGATTTAAATTCAGATTTCGGAGTGGGAAAACTCGTATCGCACTTTTTAATAAGCGCCCTTTTATTATTAAATCGTCTTTCATTTTACTCTCGTCTAATTGGACTCTTTTTTATAAAAAAAAACTTAAATATAAAGTACAATTATCATACGAAGAAAAACTTAAATAAAAAGTACAATTATCATACGAAGAAAAACTTAAATCTAAAGTACAATTATCATACGAAGAAAAACTTAAATCTAAAGTACAATTATCATAGGAAGAAAAACTTAAATACAAAGTACAATTATCATACGAAGAAAAACTTAAATCTAAAGTACAATTATCATACGAAGAAAAACTTAAGTTTAAAATTACTAAAAAAAGGATTGACCTGAATTAAATCAATCTATATTTACAAATGTTAAAACTGTATTAGAAAGACGACTGTAAGAATCAAGTTAGGGTTTTTAGCTTCCAATGAATATAAAACAGCTTCTATTGTGTAAAGTGTACAGTGTAACGTACCCCTTTGACTATTATTTAGCTTCTTGGCTACTTCTTATCAGCAGCTAAATATTTGCGTTAAAACTAAGGTAGTTTCTGAATTCTTGTAAATGATTGCATATATGTCGTCTTCTTATTCCTTAGTGTTATAAGTTCTTCTCTAGGTGGGTTGGATGCTTTAAAGAAAGGCCAGATGGCAGTTTGGGTGGCCGGAGACAAGGTACATCATATTTTTTACCGCCTTTTACCAACATTACTTTACATCCCTTGGGACAAATAAGTGAAATAATTACCCGCTCTGCGAAGTTTTCGTGAAAAGATTCGCACATTTTCATCATAAAAGACGATAAATTATGTACAACTACTTTTTCGGGAAATTAAAAGTTTTACTTAACCGCGGGTTTTGATCAATATTGCCTGCAAAACATCCCTCCATGTGCTCTGGACATTTTGTAGGCAAAGTTGGTCTGGGAAACCCTTGGTAAAGTAAAATTCCCTTAACCTCATTGTAAAGTAGTTGTAAAAAATTATTAATCCCTAGCGTGGATCAAAATGGCGAAGTGTTGGCCCCCTTTTCATGGAATAGTTCAAATACAAAATACTTTTCTTTTGCAATTGCACCCCCTTCCTTTTAGCACACAATTTGAACATTTCTTATTTTTCATGATTGCGCATAAGGTTTTTGCATTTTTTCGTATACTAAAAATGACCTTTTCAAAAAATGTGTAAATCATAATGTTGTGCGCAAAATTGCATTTCATTTTCATTGATATATAACTGTATTTTGCAAAAATAAATTGATTTCGGCACATAATATAGAAGATATAGAGGGGTTGGGTTAATATTACCCAACTGCAACTCCCCCCCCCCTCTGAGTGATACTTTCATTGAAGGACCCCCAACTTGAATCTCTAAAGATTTTGGAGATTTGACCAAATATATTGTATACTGTCATCATCAATTGAACTTTTTTCAAAATTTTAAAATATATATGGCGTTAAACTTTTCAGTTTAAAAGTTCCAATTCCTCCTGGAAAAAGTTTCTTTGTTTGTAAAAATAATAATGGGTTTCCTTCCTATAATTTGACCCCCACCCTTCCATAAAAAAATTTGTTTTTAGGAAAAATATGTTGAAGTAAAACCTATTCTTGATGCTAGCTACAGTACAGTACAGTACACTGGTGGTCTGGGTACAGCAATGATTCCAAAGGTTTGACACTGTAATATACACTCTCAGGGTGCTTCGTTATCCTCTTCTCGATACAATTTTAGCGTTTTAATGATGTTGCTTTTCAAGCTGCAATTTTTCTTAGTATTTGTAAAACTCAAAATTTCGCAGATTTTTCTTTAACCATAGTTCTACATATGTAAATTTTTAAATATCCAGATTTATTTTAATTTCGACAAGCCATAAACCTTTTCTGCGGCCTGTAAAAAAGATCGGTTATGCTGTTCAGAACGTAATTAAATTTTGTATTTAGAATATTTTTTTTTAATCCAATAGTTTTGAATGATTTACGGACTGTTATCTACAGGGGTCGGCGATAACATCAATACAATGAAGACGATTTTTTATTAATAATATTTGTATACTAACAAGCCTTTTCAAATTACAAGTTTATAGGTAGACAAAGAGAAGGCACCTACTCTTCGTCTGCATTTTTGTGTGTCTCTTGTTTGAAAGATTTATAGAAATCAAAATTGAAATTAAAAGTCGTCTGCATTGTATTGATATATCCGACGACAAATGCATTTTATTGGACGACATGGTTTATGTTTAGGTTCTGTCTAACATGCTCTGTGGACTTCAGGTTATTGCAATGGCAGAAGCTATGCTAATTGGTAAGTAATTGCGGAATAAGTTAAATGTAAAAGATGTTTTGAATTAAGATCTTTCACTATGATGTTCTTAGATTTAGACAGCTATGACACTTGTTCATCAAAATTTTAGACAGCGTTGACTTTAAAGTGTCGCAACGGCCTTGTCTTTATACTTTTTGTAGCCTTACACATGTACATTAAAAAATTGCAAACATGCACGCACTTGTTTCTAACTTAAGTTTAAAGCAGTAATGGCAAAATACTGCTCGAATTCTGCGTGAGAGCGTGCACATCTTATTTTTATCTTTATCAGACAATCATGCTTTAATTTTAGCAAAAAGGCACGGTCTAGATCTAGTTGAGTTCTGGCATAGTATAAGAATGTCGGCCGGTAACTCATTTCTCTGGGAGACCTGTGGACCAAACGTTTTCAGGTAAACAAAGACGACTTGAGCGCTCAAAACAACAAATGCCGCGGATAACTCCTGCCTTTTTATGAGCATTTTTAAATTTCCAAGAATTTCCAATCTATAATTAAACAAGACATTCATTTTTTAATAAAAAAAAAATTCCACAGGTAACGCCGGACCCTTCAGCTGGTTCTTTATAAAACATTTCCGAAATAAATCAATTTGAGTTTTTAAAGTTTAAAAAAGATGATTTATTATTTTTAGAGGTGAATATCATGATTCTTTCCCTATTGAGTTGATGTGTAAGGATAACCAACTAGGGTATGAGATGGCGAGAAATGCAAAGGTGAGAACGGTCCCTTTAATTAATTATTTTGTTCAAACTGTCCATTTATTCTATATTATTCTTGTAAACTCTTCCTTTAATTAGTTATGTTGTTGAAACTGTCCAATTATTCTATATGATTGTTGTAAACTCTTCCTTTAATCAATTATTTTGTTGAAACTGTCCCATTATTCTATATTATTGTTGTAAACTCTTCCTTTAATTAATTATTTTGTTGAAACTGTCCATTTATTCTATATTATTGTTGAAACTGTTCTTTTTCTTCTTTTTTGTTGTAATCAAGGAAGATCAAACGCAATAAAAATTAAGTATTTACCAGTAATACTATGTATGAATGAATTCTGGATCGTTAAATTATTATGAAGAATTCTTTGATAAAAAACATTCACAAATTGGAAAATTGTAGAGAATTATTAAAACAGAATTTTTTCACACTTTTTTACATTGTTGTTTGCTGAATACTTTAAGAATTTGATAAAATTCGTAATTATTTTTACATTTGTCTTTCTAATTTACATATTTCTTAATAATTTTACATGTTTCTTTCTGAATTTGACATTTTTGTTTATGAATTTTTTATATAAGCTTCTAGCTAAATTTGACAGAAAACATAATATTTCAAGTTAAAATTTGGAAGCATTAAGTTTTCCAGATTTTAAACTGAAGACTTTTCTTTTTCAGATTCCATTGGAATTGTTTGGTCTGATGCAGCAGATTTACAACAGGTTCAAACAATATTTTCATATTTGTAATATTTTTTTCTTTCGTGTTACTATCATTTTTTTATTGTGTTGTTTTTTTAATATTCTATTAATATTTTTATCATGACAATTATATTTGTGAATTCATGATTCCCTGCATGAGCTACGTTGTTATTTTCCACTTTTTCTACATTTTTTACCAATATTTTTCCTTGTCATAAAACCGTTTCAATAATATTATCTACAGACATATTGGATCGATTATAGTTTGTTTTTGGAATTTTCGAGGCTATTCAGAAAATTTAAAAAATAATTTTGAAAAAATGTTTGATGTGGACATACGAGTAAATACAGGTTTTGGAGTATTTGTCGTGAGTGTTGGAGATGCATAGACCAACTAGCTCAAGTGTCAGGCATTGCCCGTGAAGTATAAAGAAATCAATTTGTGATAAAAAAAATGGCTGACATATATACATACATATAATCGAAGAGCTTTAGTAAAAGAAAGACTCGATATGTAACGCTCTAATGTAAAAAAAAGTAATTTTATTAATATCTTAAAAATGAACAACAGAAAAGTTACATGATTAAAACTGATTTGTCTAGAGCACTGTACAGCCTGGGTCCTGATGTTGGGTGCTATATATATATATATATATATATTTGTCTAGAGCACTGTACAGCCTGGGTCCTGATGTTGGGTGCTATATATATATATATATATTTGTCTAGAGCACTGTACAGCCTGGGTCTTGATGTTGGGTGCTATTATATATATATTTGTATAAAGCACTGTAAAGCCTGGGTCTTGATGTTGGGTGCTATGTATATATATATTTGTCTAGAGCACTGTACAGCCTGGGTCCTGATGTTGGGTGTTACGCGCCACCAATTCTTTATGAACGTGAACATAAAGAATCTCTTCAGGTCATTTTTAACTTATTTTGAACAAAAAATGAAAACCCCCAGTCTAGAAGTTGAAATTCATAAAACCCCAGTCTAGAAGTTGAAATATAAAAACCCCAAACTAGAAGTTGAAATATAAAAACCCCATGTCTAGAAGTTGAAATATAAAAACCCCAGTCTAGAAGTTGAAATAGAAAAACCCCAGTCTAGAAGTTGAAATTCATAAAAACTGCATTCTTTTGAGTTTGGAAATCAATTTTTCAAAAACCTTTTTTTAGAAAGTTTTAGTCCGTTATTAACCATGCAGGCTCCGATTCTTTAAACATTTCGCAATACTTTTTTCAAAATCCCATTCTCCCCACAAAAAAGTATTAACCGGATAAAGGTACTTCGACAGAAACTTCATTTTACTTCCAGTTACTCCGTTATTCCTTGTTTTGATTTCAATCAGAAAGCCATCCCTGGCTGATTAGCTGTTAAATTCTTTTCTAATATTTCTCCCATCCCCCGGAAAATATTGTAAGCCACCCCTGGCTGGTTAGCCGTTAAATTCTTTTCTAATATTTCTCCCGTCCCCTGGAAAATATTGTAAGCCACCCCTGGCTGATTAGCTGTTAAATTCTTTTCTAATATTTCTCCCATCCCCCGGAAAATATTGTAAGCCACCCCTGGCTGATTAGCTGTTAAATTCTTTTCTAATATTTCTCCCATCCCCCGGAAAATATTGTAAGCCACCCCTGGCTGATTAGCTGTTAAATTCTTTTCTAATATTTCTCCCATCCCCCGGAAAATATTGTAAGCCACCCCTGGCTGATTAGCTGTTAAATTCTTTTCTAATATTTCTCCCATCCCCCGGAAAATATTGTAAGCCACCCCTGGCTGATTAGCTGTTAAATTCTTTTCTAATATTTCTCCCATCCCCCGGAAAATATTGTAAGCCACCCCTGGCTGATTAGCCGTTAAATTCTTTTCTAATATTTCTCCC